CGTCCACTCATTCAATTAACGTGCGTCAAGCTCTACCTTCATCGAGATCAGGCGAAAAATCCCAAGATTCTACGCTATCGGCGCCTACAGATAATAAAATAAACAAGTCGCGACTAAAGCCAGCTATGAGCCCGAAGAAATTCGCGTCGGAAGATAAGGAAAGACTCGTCGATGCTAAACCGAAATCGCCACGGCATCCGATTGGTAGATCGCCTCGAAAAGGAGGCTGGTTATGAAATATGAAATAACGTAATCCATTTTCGATGATAAAAAGGTAAATATGTCTCGATCATATTGCTTGCCTGTTGAAAGTGCCATTGATTGTATATAACTGGTTGAATGACCCCAATCTGAACGATGGTCATTGTATCCGGAAATAATATTTTTTGTCATACACTAATAAACTGTCTCATAAAGGGCAATAGAGTGCGTTTGTTCTTTATTTCATAAAAAATACGTACCAAATGAATCAAGTTTCAATGAAACGAAACTCATACTTATAGCTAAAGTATCGTATGTATATATATATGTATATATATATATTTCTCCATTCGTGGATACAATAGGTATCGTCGTTAAACAGTGTTGTACAGAAAGAGAAACGAACGGTGTATAAAGTGACACATAACTTAATTACGGGCTTACATTTATATAAAATCAATATCTAATTGAAACGAACCGAGGTCGTGGAATTGATGAAGACAAATGGTGGCCGCCATTTGTGATGTACTGCCAAGTCCAATTAGGTTTTCCCGTAATAACTCGAATACTGAGGTTTCATGAATCAGATTAAAAACTACTATGCTTTTAAGCGGCTTGCACGACCTTGCTCTGCGGGCCTTTCTGCGTGGAATTAATTTTGTCCCCTAACGACAACGCCATTCCTTGGCTCTTCGCTCTGATGCGGATGTGGCCGACCACTGGGGCGTCCGGTTTGTTCAATGGTTTCTCAATGGACATGTTCGCTAATGCGTCCTCGCCGAATATCGATTTCGCGTACATGTTCGCCGCCATGAAACCACATTGACCCGACAGTGCCTGGAACAATATGGAAATGTTGTTGCAGTCCCGCATTTGGTGCATTTGACTTAACCTAAACAAAACCGACATACCTTTTCTGGAGTCAGGCAACGCATATTCGTCGACTTCAGTAAATGGGCAAGATACTCCCTCAGATCCGACAACGTGGTATTTACAGACACCTTGTTCTCCCACTCGAACTCTGCCCACATTTGCCGGAACTCCGTATCGGTGCAAGTTGCCGGAACTATGTAATCCATGATGTCAATGTGTATGTCATTCAATACTACGACACTCCTGTCGGATCCAGCACCGGACACGTCGTAAACTGGAACGAATTGATGAATGTTAGTAACGCGAAGCTGCTCAACGTGTCAAACAGCTGTAATTGTAGATTTTTACCTATGTTCCCAAATATGATTCCGTTCTCCGTGGAGGCTACTTTCACGTTTGCCTTGATACTCGCGAAATCTCTCGGAGCAAGCACGATGGGTTGCGGTCTTTCTACAAGCTTCAAATCGCCCATCGTCGCTAGCTCTAGAGTGCAATTCTGCAGGGTATCTTCCGTTTGATTAACGATTAATACATCAAGCACAATGTCGTATTGATTGACGTGGACCAGAGCTTCTGCGTAAACGGGATCCGAGAAGCCGGTTAATTGGGTAACCTTGCTTAAAGCGCTAGGAGCTGGTATGTCGCTGCCGGAACCTGGTCTTCCAGCAACAGCAGCGCTAAGGCTCTGTTCAAACATGTCGCCGGCTCCACCCGTTAGATCTGATCCACGGCTCAATTGCAAGAACTGTATGGCATCATCCACTTGGACGATACTACCTGGCTTTTCTTTGGCCTACACGAGATAAATTACTTTATTGATTGAATCAATTAAATCGACTTTGTACAGTACCTTCTGAGTTTGCGAATCTTCCTCCGCCTTTGCTGTTAACATTCTGCCAAGAGCATCGCGGCAACCTTCGGTGAACACTTGCTGTACGAGTGGCGTTGGGCAAGCTAAAGATCTTAAGCAGAGAGTCAACCGTTCGGCATCGTCGTGTGTCATTGCTTTCGTAGGTAGACCTGAACGACCCAACTGCAGCACACTTGTCATCACCATCATCGCTTCTGCCTGCATGCGATTGCTCTTTTGGATGTCACTTTCAAGGCCTTTGTAACGAAGTGCTAACTTGGCTAAGGTTGTGGCTAACGAGGCACCGACAAAGAAATGGCCCTCCATCATGTACTGTACCAACACCGGACGTTTCTCTTCTTTCTTACCTGTGACAATCAAGTAATATTAAAATGTAAACCTGACCATTTATCGTGCGAATGATATTAGAAGAGACAATTACGGGTAGACGCGGCACTAAATATACTCTGCGTAGCATAGGTTCCATCCGATGTGACTAACTGTGCTGGAGCAGCTGGAGTGGTTCCATCTTCGGATTTTTCCCCAGCTTGACGCTTATTCTCTGCCTCTAATAATGGCAATTCTCCTAAGGCAGATCTTATGCGACTCATAACAGTTTCAATGTCTTCCTTTGATGTAGCATATTCACCCAAAATCCATAGTGCAGCTCTATGTACCTTTACTGATCTGATATGTGGAAATACCTACGGACGGAAACTAGTATTTATCTGAACTATTAAAATATCAAGACGAAAATTATTTAAAATGTTAAATTGTAAGTATTTACTTCAAGAAGCTTTTCGACAATGAGCGGTCTAAGATTTTCAAATCGTTGAATAGCTTCACGAACAAACACCAGAACATCGGTCGCCGCGGCTTCATTATTTTCGGATAGAAAATCTGTCAGCACAGGAATTACTGTAGCCGCTACATCTGCGAATTTAATGGAACAGGCATGCAACGTTCGTACAAGAAGCTGCCTGTATCTGCCAGCATCTTCGTGTTCCCCGCCAGCGGTTCTCAGTACTTCCTTTTTTAAGAGCTGAACCATTTCTTCTATCGTACGAGTGGTTACCAAGTCCATAGCCAAAGCTAGTGTTTTAGTTCTGACTTCTAATGCTGGTGAACCTGAAATATTAGTGACAACATTTGTAGGGATATTCTAATTGTTGCAACACTTTCTCTTTATTCCTATTTAGATACACACCTAGAACTCTAAGTACATCCATAACCAGATCTTGGAGGACTCTTTCATAAACAGGACTGTCCTTCATTGCAATTAAACGGTCTAGCACGATCAGTTTGACATTGTTGTCACTTTCTTTGACAACTAACTCTATATAACAGGAGGCTGCAGCTTTAATTGCTGTAGGAGCATTAGAAAGTGTCACTAAAGTACCAGCTGCTTCATAACGCACAGCAGCACTTGGAGAGTTCAATAAACTGTAAATGCATCTAATAAAACGTGCTCTTTCAGATGGATTGGCAAGACAAACCTACGAATAAACATCTTCACTGAGACTTGAGACCAACTAACACATATAAGTATTAAAAAATTATATACCTTGTAAATTAATTCAACAATAACCAGTTGCAATATATCACCAAAGTTGGGTACTTGGTCCAAACAAGCAGCTAAATAAGCCAAAGCTCTACTTTGATCAGCATGTAGCAACATCAAAAACGCATTTCTCCTGCAAGACATATCCTGCTCTCCTTCCAAGTATTTGGCTATTAATTCTGGAGCATCAGGGATTAGGAACTCAAAGTTCCTATAAATTGTAAAAATGGCCAACACAGCATTACGTCTAACATATGAATGTCTGTGCTCTAAACACGCAGTTATTGCGGGCATAAGTGGCTCCAGAAGTTCTGGCTCCTTCAATTTACATAAGAATCTGGAAAGCACAAAATAATCTTGCACTTACTGATACTTCACCTGAGAGAAAAATCCATCAGTTGGATTAATACCTCAGAGTTGAACCTCTGACAAATTCATTTGGGTGCTGTAAGTCCTTCCTATATGCATCGCAAACTAAGATCATTTCTTGGAGCAGTTTGCCATCAGGAGAAGTTTTCGGAACTATTTCCCAGAATATTAAAAGAAGCTTTTTGATCGTGTGATCCTGCAATGGCAGGACAAACCTGATGATAGTCATCAGAAGTCCCGGCAAGCGTTCTCCACTTAGGATCATATGGATGGTCTTTTTAAGAGCTTCAATTTTTGTCTGAACATTGCCTTTCTCGAGATCCCGCTTTAGCTGGAGCTCGTTTAATGGCTCTGTGTCGGTTGGAATGTTAATCAAGGTGTAACAAGGTTGTTCAGCAACGGTACTCATTTTGCTGCCGTTTTATACTCTGTCAGGAATATTTCCTATTAGGGATCTGCAGATTAAAATTACGTAACATACAATCATCCATTAAACAATGAGAATTGAATTGATTTAGCAGTGTTGTTTATAAAATGAATGAAACGTGAGGTTATGTTCGCCTCAAGTATGTTCAATGTATCGTTTGCGACGGTGAGATTCTTACAGATATTGATTGTATCTGGCGTACCTGATCACAATAAAGTCGCATAAAAACGAAAGACAACGATATTGCTCCAATAGTCAACTGTCATTTATACAAATCCGGAAACAAGGGAAACAGCATACGTGTCAAACCCCTACATCAGGGGACTACTGAAGCACGTGTAGGTAGCGCCACGATCCACGCCTTCCACGTAGACATTTTGAATTTCTCGCATCGTTCATTCTATAAAATCTCAATTGAACGATATTAATTAGTCTAACTAATAATTCCCATCCTCCTTTTTATATTCATATCACAATACTACAATTTTAATTAACGCTATGATTACGATTTCACTATAAATTTCATGTTACTTTAAATGAAAATACAAAACACTACAATAATAATGCTATTATAAAAGAATACATATTAATCATCACAAATTAGAGCTGTTATGATTCAACATTATTCGTCACTGAATAATCAACAAAAAATATGCATGTACAATATAGGACGGATTGCATATTCGAAGGGGCCATTTAGCTTCCATCTTCTGCTGCTAGGTGGTTATAGTGTTCCATGGTCTGTCCACTGGTTAAATCTACTGAAACAAAAAATTAATCATTATTCAACGAACACAATCTAATAAAATCTTACACTCTACATGACAAACATCCAAGATCACAAAATTTCGAGTAACATTTATCCTGTTAAACCGAAACTCGCAGGAAACCTTCAAAGTTTCTCTATTTGTTCGATCGTATAATTACCTGAAATATCTCAATTCTGTACAATCGACAATACGGTGAACCGGAAAACCGGATTGCTCCGTAAATGGTAAAAATGGCTTCGAACAAACAATAAGACGATTATTAATGGAATACTTTAACCGAAGAGCTACTGACCCAGATAACAAACTGAACGGAATAGACCTTAACTGGCAGCGACTTTGCAGAAGCTGAGAACAAGTTTCGTTCGCGAATTTCTGCCGGAGAGTACCGCGGTCGGATCGCAATTGGAAATTATTGTCTAATCGGTCATTACATGTATCTGCGTATATCGCCCGGCCGGGCACGTCCGATGAATATTTTACGCGTCATCCGCGCACGTGTTAACACCTCGTTACGCGGGAATCGGGATTATCCAACGGAACCGGACACGCCGGCACGCATTATTCCATTATCCCATTAGAATATTCTGAACAATTATCCTGCTGAACGATCACGCGGGAACCTTTCCTCGTTACCATGCAAATTCACGATTTTTGCGCGCGCTCCAACTATCTGCGCGGCGATAAACTCTGATCCACTCGAATAAACTATGAAGACCACTTGTAGCCGGCACGTGAATTTTTTCGGTCCGTTCAATAAACAACGTTGTTTGTTTACGTCCGACTTTTGACCCAGTAGAAAAACTCTCGTCCGGGTCAGCGATGACCCGTTCTGTGATCTGTGCATCGAGTACGATCGCTGATCTCAGCTCCATTCATGCAATATCCGAGCAAATTAAAGTGTATCTCGGTGCCCTAACTGTTGCCCAGTATATAATAAACAAATGCATTCATGAACATCGGAATATAGTTTAAAAAATTTACTTTATTTTATCTTCTAAGCGCCAGGTATGTTAAACCTAGAGTATCTTCTATGAACAATATAGATAAATTAGTGTCTAATAAATTCGATTTAAAGACTTCTGCGTTTTTTCAAAATCAACCGACACGTGTTTCAAAAGTTATTGGAAAGATAAATACTACAAGCTCGATCATCCTCGGTTGACCTTGAAGCTTAATCAAGCTATTGAATCGATGATCCGAATAGCTACCAACACTCAAGATTGAAGCAAATCATCCCTTAACCCTTTGCTCTAGAGAGGTGACTTTCACTCACCACCTGATTTCACACAGTAAAACTATAAAATTTGATATTTAATATTATACCTCATATAACGCATCAATTTGAGAAATATTGAAGTAAAATAGCTTTGTTCCTCAATGTACGTGTAATTTTTCTTCGAGTTAGTTTCACAAAATATCTTTTCTATCTCATCAGAAAATGTTAAAATATTTCTAGTGAAAATATTCCGAGTGCAAAGGGTTAAATCACCATTAACCGTTTGGATGCTAAATAACTTTGTGGATATCTACCAAAAATGCGGAAGTGATTGGGTGTGATTATGCAAAAAATTAATAAGAGTATCTAATGAGATCACAAATATTGTATTACAAAAAAATATCCAAAAATAACATTTATTCAAATTTACTTTGATTTTTTTCTTGGAAAACATAGTAAGAAAATTATAATTGATACTGATAAATCCGCAATTTTGGCGCGACACAAGAGCGCTATAGCGCTGCTCAGCACTCAAACGTAAGTTTGCAATAACCGTACCGTACTCAGCAATATCTAATTCATCAATTTGCCTTCAATACGAAAGAACAAGTAATATTACATAAAATACTCAAAATTCTCGCGGCAGTCAACGTATCAAACAGTAAGACGATGCTGCTATTGACCAGATCAGTCGTGTATAATCTCACTCAAGTTACCTCAAGATTAGAAATTATAGTCACAGTAAATATAATAAAATATCAAGCAAATTTCTAATGACTGTTGGCAAACCATTTTTCCCCTCGTGGCCTTTCCTACCGTATCTCTTAAAAACTGACTCAGCTCGAAATAAAGGTCAAAAATATCATCGAACATGCAAATGTCGTCAACTATCCACTCGAATCACCTCTACTTTGTCTGAAATTTCCGTTTCTATAAAAATGCCCCTATTCCCGCTGGAATACGCGGCGCGGCGCACCCTGGACATTTTTCGGATTCCTGCACGGCGTCGGGCCATTTTCATTGCGTCAGATGAAATTAGCGGCTAGACCATCGGTGCCCTCATGTGCGCCGGCTAATTGCAAGCGTCTCGACGCGACGCCGGAGCCAATCTTCAATTGTTTCCCGTCTCTCTCTTGCCTACTTTTTTCGATTAACTTCTATTGCACCGGCCATTGCATCGTCTGCACACAAAGGGGGTCACACACGCGTTCTCAACTCGCCGGTCCCCGTCCTCCGCCGCCTCCTCCGCCACCAACCGTGCCCTCCCCTCCCGCCGCCCCCCCTGCCGGCCAGCCCCGTGGCCCCTCTCGTCGCGGCCTTCCATCTCTGTCTCGCCTCCGGCCACGTACAGAGTTTCTTGGAGTTAAGATAATGATCGGAATCATCGTTATTGACCCAAAGTGTTTCGCGCTTGTCACATTCGCCGGCGGCTCCTTGTAGAGAGTCCGCCGTCGTCGTCGCGCTTAATGGGCCATTGAATCGCAAATGAAATTTTGATGAACCGTCCGGGTTTTGATTTCACGCCCATAATTTCATTCGGGGTTTACGACGGTTGCCGTGTAATCGTACTGTCGGTCCAATTACGCTCGTCCTCGTCTCAGTCTCCGTCCCCGCGCGCCGGGTTCCCGCGCTCGCACATTCGCACGGCTTCCACGGGGATATCGATGCCGGTGTTACACCGATCCGCTCCCTAGTGTTGCGATCGACAAATATTTTTGGCGAATGATCGCGTAGAATCTTGCTTCTACGAAAGTCTCGCGGATATGGCGGGATTTTATCTGCAACGACAGCGGCTCCGCTGGGTAGAATGTATCCGAGGACTGCGTTAGATTCTATTGAACTTGGAATTTCGCAATTCTTCGGAAATGCGGATGTGTCTTGGAGGACTTGACGACACCTATGAGTTAATGAGTCGGGGAGATGCTTCAACTTTGCTGGAGAATAGGTTTTTGATGGGATTGATCTGTGGTAGTTAACCCAGACCTAGCACGCTTGACCGGCGCTTCGGATGTTTCTAGCAACGTTTCTAGTACGCTCCACTTTTGTAGGCTTAATAAACCTAGGCATCGCTGGAATTGAAATCTAGCCTGGTATCTAACTCAAAGTTAGCGTACCCTAACTGTAGAAGTGCGAAGATGATCCTGACGCAGTTAACACGTTCCTCTTTTCTTTCTTTTTTTTGCTGAACTTAGTACACTTAAGCATCATTGGATCCAGGATAGTATCTGACTCTGACATAGCATGCTAAACTCAATACAGCTAGACATCATCAGATTTAGACTACTATCTAACTAAACCATAGGATACTGAACTCAATACACCTGAACATCATCAGATCTAAGCTAGTCCAGACTATTATCTAACTCAAGCATTGCATACCGACCCCACCGAAGTATACCAAGACATCCCTAACTTAGCATACACCTGGACATCATCAGATCTAGGCTACTACCTAACTAAACTGTAGCATACTGAACCCAATATACCTAAACATCATCAAATCCAGACTGTTATCTAACTCAAGCATTGCATATTAACCCACCCAAGTATATCAAAGACATTCCTAACTTATCTAACTCATGACGTCCATACTTCTTCCTACGAAATCAAATTCCGTCCGATACGTGACCAAGCCATCCTCTCGCGTCATTAATCAACATTAATACGTTCGAGCATCCGTTTCACCTGTTCGCGACACCGTTCAGCGGCCACGGTCTCCGATGCATCCGCGACAAGGATAACGAAAACGATAACGAAACACGCGTGGAACGTGGCGTCCGTGTAAACAAATCCGATTACAGAAACGAGTCCGCGACACGTCCCGGCGGATAAAAAAGTCCGAAGGACCGGGCTGCGTCTCGAGTTGTGCAAGGACCAGCGGATCGGCGATCTCGTTGGCAGTTCGTGTAAACAGCAAGTAACCTCCTTTAGTTAACTAGCTCGTTGGCCATGCGTCGCGTCCAGCAAATAATCCGCGTCGCGCTTTTCGCCGCGACGTTGCTCACCGCGCTCGAGGCGTCCATCGCGGACCCGCGGATACCCTTGACGTGCAAGAACATCGCCAGGGACGTGATCATGAATAGCTGCAAGGGAGGATCGAAGACCAGGCGATCGCTGGATCTTAATGACATGGAGAAACCACTGCCGATCGGTAAGTATCGCGTTCATTCCGATGGATTTTAACCGTTCGAGTAGCACAGGTTTTTAAGAAAACACGATCGAAAGAAGCCGAACAACGCTGTTTTTATTCTGTGTCGAGGAAAACCAAGTAGCGCGATAGTGCTGCATTTGTTTCATGTCGAGAAAAGCCAAGCAGAACGACAGCGTTTGTCTTAAGACGTTGACTGCCACGAGAATTTCTAGCGTTTTGATTAGTAATGCTTATTCTTTAATAACAAAGGCAAATGATATTGAAGGTAATTGTTAATGATTTAGTATAACAGTAGTCATATTACGCTATGATAAATATCCTTATTTAAAATCAAGTTTTCTATTGTAATTGTTCTTCAGTCATTTGGAAGCTCCGATCATCGGTGACCATCGCGGCAGTCAACTTGTTAACCGTTTGAGTAGCACAGGTTTTTAAAAAAATCCGGAGTTTCGTTATAGACATTTCAATAAGCATCGTGATTGGACAAAGCTGCATTTTTGCTAGGATATCCTAACCAGGAAAAAAACTGAAAAATTATTTTCATCATTGTTACTTCACAGTGACATTTGTCAAGGTGCTATCAACACTCATAGATATTATGTCAATGTTTTCACGAGAATTCTGGAATTTTGAAAGTTAAATATTCTTAACATAAATGCCGCATGATTTCTTATAGCAAAATACATGAGAAAAAATATGATATTGAACTATTCGACTGCATTATTATTATTGCACGTTCATCTCAATGTCGCGCACTAGGTAGCATTATTTATAATCGTCGTTTAATTGAGTAATTAAGAAACTATAGTAATTAGTGTCAATTACTCATACATTTCAAAAGTGAACAAATGTTCTTCAAGCTTATCTTTCGTACAATCACGCGACTGTTCAACGTTCATCGGCGATGTAATTCGATCGCTGATTCTGGATCGTCAGCAACGTTTCAGGATCATCTTACGCGGGGAATCAGATTTTACAATGCACGCGTTCGCACCGTCCGCGAAATAATACGGTCGGAGGTTAGTGAACGGTGATTGATTTCGATTGTAGATGCGTCAGAGTTGCCGCAGGACGAGCCGCACGCGACGCAGAAAAAGCGACAATGGGGTCTGGGACAATTGTTGCCTGGCATGGGCATGGAAATGGCGAACAACTATCATGATACGGAGTTGCACACCCCGTTACTTGATTTCCAAGATAATCAGGGCTCCGACTTTATCCAGGAGCAGTTTGGGCCAGAATTTGGGCCTGGCGGTTTCTTGCAAAGGCCTTATGGATCATTGGGACCGTACCGCATGGCGAGGTCTTCTGTAAGTGATCCCGTATGGTTATTATTAAATCTGTTCATTCGATGAAATTAAATATTATATTGTATAAGTAAAAAGAAATATTAATAAAATAAAGTAATTTGAACCTTGAGCCTTGAATTTAGCATTTAACCTTTTGCACTCGAAAGTTTTTCACTAGAAATATTCAATATTCTCCGATGAGATACGGAAGATATCCTTTGAAACTAATTAATGAGAAAACATACGTAAATTAAGAAATTTCAATATTCATATATTCATGCATCATGCAAAGCTTAATATTATATATAAGACTTTATAATTTTGCAAATCAAATCAAGTGGCGACTGAGAGTCACCTCTCGAGTGCAAAGGGTTAAGTTAGTGTTAAGGGTTAATTGGATTAAGATTAATTGAATTCATTCTTTTCAGCTGAATTCTAATAAACTGTTGGGATACCAGTTGACTCCAGAGGAACTCGAGGAACTGCACGTGGAGATTGGCGAACGAATGCCGAGGAACTCGAAGGAGGTGAACAAGAAGATTTTCCTGAACGTAGCAGCGAAATGCTGTCCAGACGCTAAGGTGTGCTACGAAAATCCGAGCGTCGTTCCGTGCGGAGGATATTCAATCGTATCCTAATACGTTAGTGCAAGTACTTATCGTTAGAATGAATCAGTGCAATACACAGGATGTACTTATATTGTATTAAATTATTTACTGTGTTGTTTATGAAAATAAAAAAACGGAAACGTTTATTTTCTTCTTTGAAGTAATGTCCAGACATAGGGCCAATTAACACTAGAACTACCGTACCAGTCAAAATGACTGGTTTTGATCTTTGTTTTGCAATTATTAATATCTTAAAAGCGTTCAATAATTGAAATGATCTTGAAAATAAATAGTTTCATTTGAATACTATCATTAATGTTTAAAAAACTGACAATAATCTATTGTTACAATTTTTATACGGATTACATATTAATCGTATTAAATGCTCGGTAGTTCTAGTGTTAATATCGTTGTGAGTCGGAATTGAATCCAGGCACAAACTCAAATGAAAACAATTAATTCTTGCATTGAGGAGCAATCATTTTTGAGTTCAACTTCAAGTTGCATTCATTTTCAATCGTGTCGCTCCTCAATACAAGATCATCATGTAGTTCAGACAGTTACAGTCATTTCAGAAAAACTGACATAAACAAAATAAATCACTACACGTTCAAAAATTTAATACAAAAAGTAACAAACTATAATTATATATGGTCTACCAACAATTCAGTTTTAATTCGCATTTACTATTATTCTACAAGAGCAAACCAACGAACTTTCGTCATTTAGCTCCTAGCGTTTACTAAACAAATTCTCATTATTCAACTGCACAAGTCCTAATGAACTCAAAGGAATAATCTGTTTATATTGGAAAAAGCACGAATCGTCTTTCTGCAACCACTAAACCAATGATCTGATTTCAAAGACCAAACCAACGAACTCAAAAGGAGAATTTATTTACATTGAAAAAAGCACGAATCATCTATCTGTAACGACCAAATCGATGATCTTATTTCAAAGACCAACCCAACGAACTCAAAGGAATAATCTATTTATATTGGAAAAAGCACAAATCATCTTTCTGCAACCACTAAATCAATGATCTGATTTCAAAGACCAAACCAACGAACTCAAAGGGAGAATCTATTTACATTACAAAAATCAAGAATCATTTTTCTGCAACGACCAAATCAGTGATCTTATTTCAAAGATCAAACCAACGAACTTTCGTCGTTCAACTCTGCGTCTGCTAAACGACAAATTTTCATTACCCAGCTGCAGAAGTCCTAACGAATTCGTACGAATTTCCAGGCGCGCGAACGAATTTGCGGCGACGAGTTCGCGTGAGCGGGCGGCGACGCGGCGCGGGGAGCAAGGAAGCCGAGGGAATGATCGCGCTTCCGGTTTAAAGGAGACGCGCACGGCCTGCTCGGCTCGGCTCGGCCGGCCCGGCGAGCCTTGAATCATCCGCTAATCCAGCAGCATTATCTTAAGCTGAAACTTGCACTCGCACGAAGAATCGCGAGAGACGATGTCCCGTAGTGGGTTTGCTACTATCATCCAATTTACAAGCGGACCGTGTGCAGCGGTTAATGGCTCGCAAGGGAGTGATGGGATCGAAACGAGCCGGGTCAGGCCTCTGACGAAACGTTTGTCCCAGAGAAAAGAGACCGTGCCAATTACGAAAGCTTTTCTTTTCCGAACTCCCCGGCGCCTGCCGGAGCCGCCATTAACACACATAACATTTATTCTCGCGCTCAACGCTAAAATTACAGGGCAGTTACGTTGACTTTTTTCTTAAATTCCTCTGTAGAAAGTCCAACAGTGCGTCTGTTGAAACTTCGATTGAGTTCGTCACGAGACTGTGATTTGGTTTGTTTCATTTGACAGGAAGATTCAAGTAAACAAATTGTATAAATCTGGGAATTTGGTTTTTGCGATGCTTAATGATCCTGCGTTGATCCTGCGGCCAACAGGCGTTTCTGACGCTTGCGTAAGCTGACGATTATGTTTGGAAATGGTAACTGAGATCAGCATTCGATTGTGATTGTTTGTTTAGGATTGCGTAAGGTGCGATTCATTTAATAATAGACACTGTGATTGAGAATCTGATGGCAGGTGTTTGTTGCGTCGTAGCTTCGTGGTTTAGGTGCCATTTTGTTTTAGATTTCGGTGGGTATTTTGGAGGATGAAAGGTGGAACTCCATTTTTTGTTTTTTAAATTTTGATTCGTATGAATAAATGTTAATGTTTGTATTAAAATTGATTCGTGACGTTATATATTAATGTTTATTCTTTATGAATAATTATTTCTAATTTTACTCGCGAGATTAACTGCAAATCTGGGATTTTGTTTTTAGGAAAGGAGTGTTTGAGAATGGAATGTTTATCTGAAGTGAATCGAGAAAAAGAAATTGGGACTGCATTTTGACGGAAGGTCGAATGTGTAAGAAGTAAAACAGTTAATGGTAAATATATTTGCCGAGTACTTGGCTAAGATCGGTAGTGACAGAAATAATTTCGGAACACTGGTCACGGAATCCTTTAATAAAGACTGAATTCTCCTAGATCTAACGTGTCTTTCTACTGATTGCCGGCTGAAAAGGCGAAGATTCTATCATTGTCCCTCGTGTACGGCTATCGTCCCGACACGTTCGTGCCAACGTGACCGGTTAATAATTCAATCTGCCAGAAGATGCACCGTTCAGGAATCGGCATCGCCCAGCGGAACTTGAAAAAATGGTTCTCCGTAACGAGAATATAAACAAGAAGATCGATTCACGATTGTTAAATATATGC